CCCTCGGCTGGTCCACCTCTGCGATTGCAACTGATTAGCTTTCGTACTGTGGACTGGTAGCTCGGCGGGGATACGCCCACCGAAGGGAGGTGACAACTCCCGTAAGGTGTAGGTAAGTCGTACCTCGAGTAGGCCCTATCCTGTCGTAGGGGCTCGCGAGAGGTATGGCTGGCGCACCCGGCCGGAGCGGCTTGTGGAAGCTCCATGTATATTGCGACGAAGGGTTCTAAAAACCAACTTTCGCGTGATGCGGCCGGGAGGGTCCCGCGCTGCCCCCGCGCGGCGCCGGACCGATGCGCCTGACAGGTGGCGCCGTTGCCGGGGATAGCGGAAAGTCTACCGTTGTCCCTGGTGGAACGACATCCGGGTATTAGAAGTGAATAAGAAAAGACATAAAGGAGTGATGAGAAGGTAATGAACAAATATATGAATGACTAAGTGTAGGTGAGGAAATTTACCTACCCAAGTTGAGGAAGTATGAGGGGCGATCGTGTTAGCAATGGGTAAAGTAAGTACTAAGGGTTAGGTAGGACGAATGGAATAGGCCGGTCAAGGTATAATGTTGAATAAGGGGATGTACTTGTTTTCTTTTGCCAAGGAATTTAAAAAGAAAAGGCTGTCAAGATGCCTGAGACTGGCGGCGCATCAGTTGTTCCCAAGAAGGGCGTGACACTTGATGACCTCATCGCGGCCATCGACCGACATGAAAGGAACCCGAGTAACATCCCAAAGGTCGATACTTTCCATTTTTGTGGGGAGAGAGTCTCAAAATGGCTAGAGCGGGTGGAACAAGCTTTGGTCGGGCGACCGGATGTTGTAAAGTTTCAACGTATCCTCCAGTATGTCCTCCACAGCTACCATCTGGAGGTGAAGAAAGTCATAGATGCGGCTCAAGGTAGCTGGGAGAGGTTCAAGGAGGGGATGCAGAGGAAATACCGCCTGGGAGACGGGTTGTTGACTACCACGGACCTTGAAGCGATGAACAAAGAGGATTTTATGACTATAGGGGCCTTTGTTCAAGAATTTAAGAAGAGGGCGCGAAAGGTCCATGAGATTTCGGAGGAAGCACAGTGCGTCATCTTCCTGGGGCTACGCACAGCATCCGAGGCCGTCGAATTGACGAGACATGGAGGAGGTAGCACTAAGCTCACCTGGACCACCATTGACAGAGGGGTGGAAGTTGGGTGTTTAGACCAGGTGGAACAACGTCAGGTACGCCTGCAAAGGCAGAAGAGAAAGGAAAGAGATGCGACCGCTTCTGGGACCCCGGGAGTAACAAGGATTGTTACAGACGTATTGGTACAGCTAGGGTATGCGACAGAGCCGGTGGTGCAAAGGAGGGTGGTGACGGCTGTTAAAGTAAAAGGAAAAGAGTAAGTGATAGAGGAGGCTGGCCAGGAGGAGCTCTGGGAAGAGGAAGAGCCGGTGCCGCAACACCTGACGAAGGTCCAATGCAAAGTGCGTAATTTTGCGCAGGGCGGACAGGGATCAGGAAAAACGCATGCATCTCAAACCAAGGCAGCAGCCCCTTTAAATGTGGCCGCTCCATCATCTAGTACGGGCCCCTCGCAAGGCAGGGCACCCTCCTATGGACAGTGGCCCTGGCCAGTGATCAACGCAATTGTTCTATGGGGAAGTACGCCGCCAGTACCCGGATCGCAAACGAGTATGCCACCACCCATCTACCCCGCGGCCCC